TTACCCTGTAAGGAACAGGAGAGCTTCACACACTGTCCCAAATCCCATACAACTTCATTCACGGAGGTGAAAAATTTGTAATCATCTGAATCTAGAGTCGAATTCCATTTTACATTTGAACAAAAAAATACTTTTGCAGTCTTGATACATACTGAATTTTTCTGGAATGGAACTAGCATACTGTGTTAACTGAGGGAAAACTGGCCTTTGTTTTGTTCAGAATTTAGCAAAAGTTGTTCACTATTCAAAAAAAAAAAGACACTGAAGGCAACCCATCCTCATTCTTTCAAAACACCCCTCTCAGCCAGCACTTGTGGATGGTGCTTCGTGGTGGTGCTACAGGAGGTCTGAGCGTCGACTTCATTCTGTCGGAGTGTACTGACATAGAATGCATGAAGTGGCCTAATTACTTTTAATTCTCTTTTATAGTACAGGCGGCATTACATTTGTTGACTGACTGAACATAACATACCCAGTAAGCATGTTATATTTCTATTAATTTTAAGAATAACAATAAAAATAACTAACACTTCAACTACATCACTATATGCTGGGCACAGTGCCAAGCATTTAGCAGTATTAACTCATCCTCAGAAAACCATCTGCTATAAACAAGGGGTGTGGGCTTAAGAGGGAGGGACACCACTGCCTTCCAGAAGAAAACCCCAAAGGTGCCCTGTGACATCACTGCCCTCGGAAAGTCTCCGTGGCCCGGCCGGTGGGGCGGGGCCAGCTTTTTCACGGACAACCCCTCCCCAACATGGCTCAGCCTCCAGATGGGGCTTGCCACCAGGGCAGGCGGTCTGAAGGTCCTCTCCTCTCCTTCCCCAGCGCTCCAATTCCAGGGGTCCAGGGTCCTCATGCCCACCCTCCCCTGGGACAGGAGGCAGCCACTCCTGAGGACAGCTCAAAGCCATGCTCTGGTGTTCAGGGCTAGGGAAGACCCAGAGGTCCCTCCCCTGAAGAGCACAGTCCAACCTGTTCCTCTCCCCTGAAATACCAGCTGACAAACCTCCCGACTCAGCTGGACACTCCTCCCTGCTCCCCGAGCCCAGGCAACAGGGCTGCTCTGCACCAGGGCATGTGTGGGAAGACTGAGAACACTGGGATCCCAGTGAGCAGATAGCAGGCAGAGTCCCCGTCTTGTCTCTACCACCAAGCCCAGGATGACCCTGGACAAGTCCCCGCCTCACCCCTACCTGCCCCTCCAGCCCAAGTTTCTTTGTGCAGCGCAGAGCACGGCTGCAGCTGTCCCCCATGTGCCTGGGCCCCAGCGGAGCCCAGAGCCCGCACACCTATGTCTGACACGTGTAGCTCTAGAGGCGGCATGCACATTTCCCAAGTACACTAGTCTAACACTCGCCAACAAGAATGCAGCACCAGAGGGGAGAAGCCACTCAGCCCAGACCCCCGTCAAACCCTCGCTGAAGGGGTCCCTCAGCCTTTCCCAGTCCTGCTCTCTGCCCCTCAGTGAAGCGCTGGCTCTCAGAGCTGATCCAGTCTCCAGCCAGTCCGCCTGGCCCCAGCCCCCCACTCACTGTGTATAGTCTTCGCCGCAGTCTGGCCAGGAGAGGAAAGGAGAGCTCTAGGCCAGGGAACCGACGAGCTGCTGGCATCTCCACGGAGCTGGACCCCTGACTGGGTCCCTTGGACTTGGGCTTGAGAAGTGGGGGAGCAGGGACCTCAGCTTCTAAATTTCAGGTCCTGCCCAGAAGGGAAGCTGGCCAGAGGTCTGCCCTAGGAGCCCCCAAAATCCCACACCAGGGTTGGGATGTAGGGCAGAAGAAGAGGGTAGGTCCCCTTCTCTGCTGCACAGCTGTTTCCTCACTGGCTAGTCTGCCAGGGAGCAGGTTGGCTCTTCTCTGGACTGCCTGAAGCCTGAGTCCTCTCTGTCCTGTTTCTCTGTCTTCTCTCCAGAGCAGTGGTCACAGCTCCAGCCCTACTCCCTGGCTCCCCCTCCCGACTGCCCTCCCTCCCTTCTTCCCTCCTCCCTCCCTCCCCAGCTGAGCAGCTCTGACACTGGCTGAAAAAGGACCTTTCTGAATCACTGCCAAGAAGGCGGTGGGAATGGGGGGACTCTTCCTTCCAGCCACCCGCACTGGCCCCCCTGCCTCCCCATACACAAGGCCCCCTGTCTCTGGCTTCCACCCCAGCCCCCATAGTTGCAGACAACTCCTGGGATTTTAGGGTGGGGGCTATGTGAATCAAGCAGCAATGTACAAAGAATGGTTGCAGACTCCCATATGGGCTTATCTGGGGCCTGGGAGCTGGTACATAGCCTGAGTTAGGGGCTAGGACCCCAGAGTCATTCCTGGATCCTGCAGGCAGACCCTTCGGAGACCCTCCCCCATCTCCCAGTCCCAGCCTTGGCTGGGCGTCTCCTGGCTCAGGCCCTAATGTGGCCCTGTTACCCTGGTGCCCGACGGAAATAGGAGGCCGGCAGCCTGCCAGAGCGGGGCAGTCCAGCCAAGATCGAGAGGGGGTGGAGGGGGTAAGGAATCTCCACCTCCTCCCCTGGGGTTGCCTTGTCTGCTGCCCACAACACCCAGAGTACCTCCTCCCCAGACCAGCTGGCCAAGATCCAAAGCCCCCTCAAAACAAACAAATAGGCCCCTAGACCTGGCTGGGATTACCCCCACCCCAAGCTGTAGCATTCAAGGCTGTATGATGTCTCTTGTATAGCACCCATACACACAGACAACAGCCCCAGCTAAAGGGAACTAGAGACACTCCATCAAGCCCCCATGGGCCCCCATGTTCCTGGAGCTGACAAATGATCCCTCTGCCCCTCCTCAAGAGAGCCAGCTGCTCTTACACCCTCCTCACCACAGCCCCCAGACACACCTGACAGCTGCAGGAAGTCCTCGCCGGCTCCCTCAGCACCCCCACCCCATCCCCCCACCATGCCCAGGGAGCCCCTGTTTCTTTCACACTGCTCTCTTGTCCCGATCCAGCTGGCGACCAGCACTGAGAGCCCAGCTGGCTAGTGGGGCAGGCAGCTGGGGTGAGAGTTTGGGGGAGTCAGCATCCCAGGCTCTCTTTCCAAGGCCTCTCTCAGTGTTTGGAGAGGAGGTACCCAAAGGAACAGCCATTTCCTGGCCTGAGCCCTGATGGAGGGGGGGGAGGGTGAACACACCCCAGCAATCAGTCCTTCTTCCCCATCCCCCTGTCATCTACCCCAAAGCTTGTGGAGCCAGCCAGGTGCAGCCTCCCCTCTGTCCAAGTGAATCACCTGTCTGAGGCTGGGGTCACAGATAATGGACAAGACCAGGCAGAGGTCACACTGGAGCGGACTCTTCCCCAAACCCCTGGCAGGAAATGTCCACAGCTCAGAAAGGAACGCCCACGGCCTACCTCCCACCAGCACCACTCTGAAGGAGACCCAGGGACCTGATCCCGGGAGAGAATTTAAGCAGGATCACTCCCTCAGCCCCCAGGCGGGGCTGCTGGGTTAGAGTGGCCAGATGAAAAACCCCAGGCACCCCCTGAAAGATGTGCCCCAAATGCACCAGAACCCCGTGCCTGACTCTCCCTCGGACACGAGGTAAGAACAAGCCTCAGCAGCTTGCTGGGCAATCCAGCTGTGAGAAGCTGTAAGAAAGGAAAAGCATGGCCAGGGGCCTGAGCTCAGGCAGGTCTGGGACCCCTTGCTCCCAGTCCTGGAAAACAGCGCCCACCTTCTGGCCCGCCTTTGTCCTGTCCGCTATTGCCCTCTGCCGGCCAAGAGAGGAAGTGCTGGATCTCCAAGGAGAAGCAGTGGTCCCATAAATATGGATGGTGACCTTACTTTCTAAACCAAACGGGGCCATTTGGCTTGATGCGCATATGTGAACGGAATGTCCACGGGAATGTCCAGGGCACAGGGATGCAGTGCCCGTAAACGACTAAACCCAAAAGCAAGCCCAAAGGGCAGCTGAACTGGGACCAGAGACACTGAGGCCAATGTCCGCACCAGTAATTCATCACCAATTCACCTCGCCCCTAACTCCCCGCAGCAACACCAATGCTTCACCCAGCCTCCCAGGAGCGCAGACACCCCTCACTCCTGGCTGCAGTGCTCAGGGCCGGGCCCTCCGCTCACCAGCAGATGATGGGGCGAGGGCCCGGGCACCTGACTGTCCCCCAGGCTTCCCCCATTACCTGCAGGACCTCCTCGCCCCCAGGCAGGCGCTGATATGCAGATCTCTCCCCCATGGAACCCAAACTGCCCGCGTTAAGGCCGCCCCCGCCCTGGCAGCGGCACCGGCGGCGTCACTGCCCTGCGTCCTGCGGGGCCGGGCCTGAGCATCCTCTAGTCTGGAGTCCAGGAGAAGGGCAGGGCCGCTAAAGCACATCAGCCGGGGGAGCACTGGTCCTGGCCCCCACCCCGCACGCACCCCACGGCCTCCTTTCCACCCCCACCCGCTGGCAAAAGCCCCCGCGGTGGCTGTCTCTCCGGCTCCGACCGCGGCAGACCCCTCCCCCAATCCTGTCCTGTCTGCACCAACCAGCCGCTGCCTCTCCGCAGGGCCCCAGCCCGATCCCCAGAGAGCCATGGCTCCCCTCGGCCCCTTGGCCTCCGGGATCCCAGAGCTCCACAGCCACCAGCTTGGCTCTGGGGATTCAAGGGTCCCCACATTCCATGATGGGGGGGGGGTCCATCCAAGAAGCATACAGAAGAGAAGCAGCCCCTGTCCTGAACTAACCCGGGACCCCTGCCTCTAGACATGCGGCCTGAAGCCTATCCCTCCACCTGCGCAGCTTTCACTGAGCTCCAGGAATGAGCCCACCTGCCGGCTCCCCGCGGCGCCTCTTCCCTCCGCTCCACCCTCTCTTCCAGCCGCAAACCTGCCGGGCCCAGCGCGGTGGGAGCCACGCCCCCTCCGGCACCGCTCCAGCCCCCACCCCTCTACGCCTCTTCGTAGCCGGGCCTTGACCTTTCCCTCCCGCCCCCGCCCCCAGATCGCCCGGGCTGCGCGCGCGGGAGGGCAGGGCAGAGCGCTGGGGCTGACCTCTCCGGCCTCCGAAGAGCGCCCCGCGTGCCCACACTGCACTGCCCGAGGAGCTGCTCCGATACCTGCCCACCACGGACTGTCACCCAGCGTCCAGGTGAGGCCACAGCTGGCAGAGGACGCCCCACTGCAGAGGCTCCTCCTCCCCGCCAGCCCCCAGGGCTCCGAGGCGAACGCACACCCTCTCATTTTGCTGGCATCTGAAGCATCCACTGACTCCACAGTAACAGGTATTTACGGCTGAGCTCAGGGAACTTCACCCTTTTAGGGTTGGGGCCGAGGAGGAGAGAGATGCTGAGACACCCGGCCACACACTCAACCTCCAGAGTGAGGCGAGATCCCAGGCGGGCACTAGGTTAGTTTTCCATAAGGCTCCCCCTCCTCACAAGCTCGGTCGCAACCCTAAGTATGCCCCTGCCGGGCAGCGGTTTATGCGAGGCAGAAGCTCCTCTGCGTCTTCCTGCAGCTACGACAGAAACTAGTTTTGGGAGTAGCTGCAAGAACCCCGAGTCAGACGGCTGTGGAGAAAGAGGCTGAAAATGCCAGGCCCGTTCTTTCTTCTCCTGGTTGGGTGAAGGGTCTGATCCAAACCATTCCGCCTTCCTGCTTTTCTCTCCCTTCCTCCTCCCCTATAAGCCCCCTGCCATCTTGTTATAAATATGGCCACAGGTCCAATCTGCCTCTAGGGTTTGGGGAATCCCGCCCACTCGCACACCTCTCTGGTCTGTAACTTGCCCCCATATCTCTAAAAGGGAGGTGGGAGTAGCCCGGAATCTGCTGTTGACACACACACACACACACACACACACACACACACACACACACAGCCTCTCCAACAGCATCAGTGAAGTGACAAATCCATACTGAGGAGCAGACGTGACATGTAATTTCCGGCCAAGAGGATTTTTCCAAAACAATCTACCGTATTCTCGGGAATATATGCCAATCCCACCTCCAAGCCAGCCCTCTGCCACCTCTGCCCTCCCTCTTCTCCAAGCCCCAGAGGAAAAACAACATATTGGGTAATGCTGGTAGCTCCTCTCTCAGCCAGAGGATTATCTTGCCTTACATGTCAGTCCCACCAAGCCCAGGCAGCTTCAACTCACCTCTGTGAGCAGGGCCCAAGCTTCTGGATCGAGGCCAGGCTGGTTCCCTCAGGTCCTCATCCCAGAGGGAACTGCATTAGGCAACCCCACACCTTCAGGTCAGCCCAGGTCTGACATCATACTGGTTTGAGGAGGAGGCTGGCCAGGGGCCAAAGGAGAGAAGGGGATGATTCAGATACATACCATGGCTGTTCACACCCTCTCCATCTCCAGGACACAGCGGCCCACTCCCTCCCAGGGGAGCTTGGCATCTGAGAGCCTGAGGACTGGCAAGGCTGAGGCATACTTGGCAGCAGTGCTGGGCCCGCAGGCCCTGAGTCCAGCCCTAGAGCCTCTTCGCCCTTCTCGTTAACTGTTGCTGTTTCCTAAGATTTTTGAACTCTCCCTTCTCGATGGATGTTCTGTCCGTGGGTCATCATCTCTCCTCCTAGAACTCCAATTACCACCATGAGCTATCTGTCTCCATTCCCGAGTTCCTGACACAAATAGAAATTTTTCGATATTTGCAACCATAGTAAAACAAAGATTTATATTTTTGATATTTATTTTATATATTTAAATGCCATTTAACAAAGAAAAATCAACCAAAAAAATGAGTTTGCGAGTCACCTCTGACACGCGTGTCATAGGTTCGCCATCACTGCTCTAGACCCACATTTCTACACATTACAGGACAGCCCCACCAGGTGGCCGCATAGATACGTACCACAAATTCTGCATGTCCAGACTGAGCTCATCATGAACCATTTAAACCTAGCTCATGGGTGCCCCTGTATCCTGATTGAAAATCACAAGCCAACACCAGCACCCAAGCTAGAAACCTCACCCCTGGCCCCCACAGCCATCCTATCTTCCCTAGGCAGGCCACAAAATCTTGTTTCTACCTCTTTATTATTCCTCCCATCAATACCACTGGGATCAAAATGCAGGCAGGCCTGGGCTGAAATCCTGGCTCCGTCACTTTCTAGTTGGGCAGCTTTTGGGCAAATGACTTAACCTCTAAGCCTCAATTTCCTCATCTGTAAAATGGGGATAAATAATACCTCCTTTATAGAGTGTAGATTCAATGAGATCATGAATGGCATACTTAGCACAGCACCTGGCACACAGTTGCCTATTGTTACTATTGTCATCTGAGCACAGATCTGAAGTCCCTTCCCTGCATAAAGCCTTCTGCAGCTCCTCATTGAACCAAATACAAGGCCCTTCAGGATCCACTCCTTGTCTATTTGTCCAACACCATCTCTTACCATTTCCCTTCAAATGTCTCCATGTTTTCAAATCCAGTAAAGCAAGCACCTTCATGGAAAGAAGGGCTGCCAAACTCATTACAACCCCTCCTGTCCCAGGCCCACTAAGCTACTCTGCTCCCACAAAGCCACTTCAGCCCCAGGAACAACGTGGCCGGTCACTCAGGCAGAAGGGGAGTCTTGCATTGGCCTTCCCTTCTCAGGAAGGCCTTCTCAATGGAGGAGAGAGAAAGGGACAGGGAAGAGAGGAAGAGAGGGGAGAAGGGGGAAAGAGGGAGGGGGGGACCCGAAGGGGAAAGGGGAGTGACAGGGAGGAAAGGCAGGGCACAGAAGCAGAGGCAGATACATCAGACAGAGGGGCCCTCCTATGCCTCATCTCCTTAGACCACAGTGGAGAGAGAGGTGTAAGGATCTTCAGAGAGGAAAGGATCTGACTAAACATCATGACACAGACCAACACTGAATTCAACATCTCCCCACATGTACCAACTTGGCCTTGAAAGTATTTTGTAACTGTTTCATGCTCCACCAGCTAGAGACTGGCGTGCCAATCCTGACACTCCAAGACAGGACACTGAGAACCCTAATGCATTCCTGAAGCACTCCTCTCCCCGCAACACAAACACCACTCAAGAGACAGGATAAATTCCTGCAGCTGCCTGGGTCTTCTGCACACCGTGCCAATCCTCTGGCCCAGACACCAGCATGGCACCAAGGCCAGGCAGCGTCTCAGAGCAAGGGAAGGATGCAGTTCCAGCAGCCCGGCACTCCCAGAGCTCTTCCAGGGCTGGGCAGAGGACGCCCAGCTAGTCACCGCATTCTGGCGCAGGCCTCACCCCACCCCCACTCCTGGGGAGAGCCTAGAGCTGAAGTGGCCTATTGTTGGGCCCTGGAGGTGGGGTGGGGAAAGCCAGAGCTGTGTACTGTAAATCATTTACTCTGCTAGGGGGACTGCTCATCTCCATGTTACAGCAGAACCCCAGGAGCTAGGTCCATCCAGTGCAGACCAGGCTGCCGGGCCCGGGAGACGAAGGGTCTGAACCTGGGAGAGAAATGTCAGGGACTTCAAGATATTTAAGATACCATAAATCCCACCATATCCTGCCCACCCATTTTAGCAATAGAGAAACCAAGACCCTAAGTTGGAAGGGACTTGCCCGGTCCAAGGCACTTAAGAACCTGTCATAGGGAATGAATCTCCAGGAGCTGGGGGAGGTCAACAATTCAGAGTGATGGTAATTCTCTTCTGACCATGGAAGAGGAGCAGCCCTGCCAAGATCAGGGACTAGTAGAGGCCAGGGGCCCAGAGAGGAGACCCTGACTCATTAGGAGACAGCACACAGAGGAAAGGCAGTGATAAGAAGAACCCAGTGTGCCCTAGCTGGCTTGGCTCAGTAGATAGAGCGTCGGCCTGCAGACGGAAGGGTCCCAGGTTCGATTCCGGCCAAGGGCACATGCCTGGGTTCCGGGCTCAATCTCCAGTGGGGTGCGTGCGGGAGGCGGCCGATCAGTGATTCTCTCTCATCATTGATGTTTCTATCTCTCTCTCCTTCTCCCTTCCTCTCTGAAGCCAATGGAGAAGTATATTAAAAGAAAAAAAAAGAAGAACCCAGTGTTCTCATACCCACTGAGGCCTTTGGCTTCAGGTTCCTCAAGAGGTACAACTGCTGAAAGGAGAGACCAAACCAAACATCTCACCCTACACCCCTCCTCAGTCACTCATATACCTACTATGTTTTCACCTCGGGCTAGGATTTGGGGGAAGTATAACGGAGAAGTCACAGTCTGGGCTCTCAAGAAAACCCAGGTTACGTGCAGGTTCTTTACTAAACCGATTTAAACCCCCACCCCTTACTACATTATTCCCATTTTACAGCTAAGAAAACTAGCTCTGAAGAGGTGGCCATGATCACCCAGAAAGTAAGAAATGAAGCCAGAATTCTGTACACTACATTGCTTGGCTCAAGGATGCAGGCTCATGGTAGATAGAGCCGGGGTCTTTTTCATTAAATGTACGCTGGATACTGAGTGAATTCATGGATTCTCTAAGGTTAAAGAGGGGAATAAACGTTCTAAGACAGCGGTTCTCAACCTGTGGGTCGCGACCCCTTTGGCGGTCGAACGACCCTTTCGCAGGGGTCGCCTAAGACCATCCTGCATATCAGATATTTACATTACGATTCATAACA